ATATATATATACATACATACGCACAATGAATTTTATTTTTAGTTTCACTTTCGGAACTTCAAAAAGTTTCCAATCGATTCATACACACACACACACATGGAGGGCACAAATATTTATCCGAGTTTGCTCAACCGCAAATTGCGTCACAACGCCCGGCGTTTATCTTTTCCAACTTCTTTTTTTTTTGCTCTCTCTGGAGAAAATTTCGCCACTCTAGTGTACACATACATACACGACCATTCTATACGGACATATATTACATAAATACGTATATACAGGGAAAAGAAGAAAAGATCCAAGCGCGATGTGTGTGTATGTGTGCGAGTGTTTACGACTACAACGCTTCAAGGTGTCACCCAGTTAAAAACGAGCGCGGTATTTCGATCCATCCGTTAAATGTTAAATTAAGAATAAGAAAACATATTATTATACTATAGATAAGATGACTTTTATGATAATACCTCTCATCTTATTGCTAAACTTGCTAGTTGCTTTTGTTGCAGGTGGGGTCAAAAATTGCCGGAAGATCCAAGAATAACACAGCAAATGGTAGGTAGGTGATGAACTGGGCTTTAATGCCTGTAATGGCTGTATCGAAAATATTAAGTCATCACTAGGGCAACACGAAGAAATCCGAAATCCTTTCAAAAGTTTGTTGGGAAACCAGAGAAAAGGGGAACTTCATCGGTACTTTTTGCACCACGATAATGCAACTTTCTTGCGCTCAATTGGCATCAAATTGGAAAAGCTCCAAAAAGCCGATTTCGAGGAATGTTTTGAAAGGAGCCACCTTTCACCGACTTAAGAAATGTATTAAAATAAATGGAAATTATGTTGAGAAATTACAAAAGGATGAAAATTAAAAATATTAAAATATAATTTTGTTTCATGTTTTTCCAGCCAACTAAGCTAATTTTTGTTAGACCCCATGTATATGAAACGGTTGTCATGTATACCGTCTGAAACAGCTGTCGTCGTCGTCGTTATGCAATAAGAGGAAGAAGAGAGAGAGAGCATGCATACATGCGCGAGAATCGAGAGAGAGAGAGAGAGTGCGCATTTTTGGAGGACGGTAGGTAGGAGGAAGGTAAAGGGTTGTTGCATGCATTCGCTTGCAATAAATATCTTTTATATGAGAGAGATATTCTCTGTTTACCTGAGTGTAACACCAATTCTCTGCGACTGGGGTATTAACTTCCTGCGGCGGGGGGCTCGGCACACGGCTCACGGCCATACTGCTCGTGGAGTGCAGGTTGGAACTTACCCGTGCCGTCTGAGCGGTCGAGCAGTCACTCACCACCGGCAGCCTGCAACAAAAAAAAGGAACAACAAAAATTATTAAAAATCAACAGAAGATGAAAGAAGCAGAAACATTTAAATTATCATTAAAAGTATATTAACGTTAGTATTTCCTGCAGACGAGCGATGAATGAAGGAGCTGCAATAGCGACAAACATAATTCGAAGAAGCTGTTGAAGTGTATCAATTTATGAGGAATCAATCAGCTGCTGTTTACTATGATGATCATGAGTACGAGAGAAAAAGAGTAAACAACAATCTATTTCTAATTACGTTCGCACTCTCTCTCTCTCTCTGTCTATCTCCGTTCTTGAGTTTCAGTTTACTCAATGTACAAATGTTATTTTTCCGTTTCTAGGGCGAGAGGCGTTATGAAATGAGGTCTACTTTACTTTACTCTACTCTACTCCACTCTGCTCACAAATCCGTACGCATTCACACACACACATGCCATGGAAAAAGACGAAGGAGAAAGAGAGTAGGAGAGTCACGTACTATAAATTAAAATAACAATTAGGATCATTCGATTCGTTACGATTGAAAATCAGTAGTAGCAGTAGTAGAAGAAAGCATATTATAGTGATCCGATCACAGCGAAGATACAAGAATAAGAGCACGAAATTGCAGAAAGGAAAAGAGATGAGTTAGCGTAGGAGGAGGAGGAGGTGGAGGAAGAAGGACCCAGATTTCACTCTGATCTAAATCCAACTAGGTCTCCACATCGATACAACAAAAATAGATAAGAATATAAAGTAGTTTGAGAGAGAGAGAGAGATAGCAACATTATTTGACTCAATTCCTGCCACCATCGAAAGTAATGTTTATGATAATAGTGAAGCATCTTCATTCATCATACAAGAAAGGTGGCGGCGGCGGCGGAGGAAAAGTTGCAAAAGTCAGGGAGAGAAAAGAACAACGAAATTATATACATATATATAGGTCAACATACAATTGAACTTGACACATGCTGCTTCGCGATTAGGAAAAACGCTTTTCCTGATCGCAATTTGCCTTCAAATGAATCGCTCCTTGACTTGGGTGGGGCGGAGTTATCAATTACAATTGTTCGAGGAGGAGGCTGTGATGGTGACAAAGAGTAAGTAAGAGAGAAAACGAGAGAGAGGGAGGAGGTGGGAGGATCGCGACGCAGGCGTCGGATAGTACTACTACTACCACCACCACCATCATCATCACCATCAAGGCAAAACACGTGCGACTCCCTCTCTCCTATCATCAAACGGCTGACGCCATCCTTTTGCATGACCTTACGACGAACACGCTAATTAAATCTATTTAAAACTACCCGCGAGGTTGAACAAAAAAAAAATGACGAGCAGCAGGAAGTATTGAAAAAGGAAGAAAGGAAGAAAAATATACTTTAATCATCAAATGCTCCTCTTTACGGAAAGGCAACTATAATCTAAGCCGGCTGCTGCTGCCGCTGATGTCGTTGCACGTGCTGCCGCCTGCCTACCTCTGCGGCGATCGAAGAACATTTTTTGGCGTTGGTTAGGTCAAGAAATCGACCATCTCTCCTTCTTTTCTTCCTTTTTCTCTTTATTCCTTTACCTCACGAGAGAGTAGAGAAAGATAGGAGAAAACGACTTTATTTTTTTAGAGACGTGAGTGGGAAATCTTACCTAACCGATACCCTCCTACATCCACGTACGAAAGATGTATACATATTATCGATTCCATCAGAATTCGCAAAACTACAGGGCAACTGTCATTACCATACCTCCTCGTATCACCTACGCACATTCCGATGCGCTTCTTCTTGCGCTTCCATTATTGTAAAGGCGACGACGACGACGAATCAAATACATTTACAAGAAGTGATCGTTTTGCCTCGCGCGACAATTGATTTCTGATCCTCCGCAATTCAACCCTATTTCTATTCTTCATCATCAACCGACCGACCGACGTTCAGCTTTAATTCGATAGGAGTCGGTTTAATAATAGCAGTAAGTAGCTTTGACCGAGGAGAGATCATTACACTCTTGAAGGCAGCAGCAGCAGCAGCATGCATATTATCGCGTGGAGAGCCGCAGAGGATGACCAAGTTTGAAGGTCGTCAGACCTAGTGCAATGCTCCCCTGCGCAGCGGGTCTTTAAGGACGCCGCGGTCATCGCACCGCAGCAGCAAACCGTACACTCTCAAACTTGCGCAGGTTATTCCTTTTTCTCCGCCACCGCCTCCTTCTTCATCTAATGCATACACCACCACACCACATGCGTTCATCGACACTCGCTAACTAACTAACTTGATACAAATTTGGATCTGACAAACTGTCGGTTAATGACCGAGCCGAGCTTTCACGCGAAAGAAAGGTAGAAATCCATCTTTTCCAAACACCACACACCACCTCTGATAAGAGCGATCAACCAATCTCTACGTTCTTCTCTTTTTTTTTCTGTTCTTTTTTCTTTTCTTGAAGACTTTCACAAGCGTCTCGTAATATTTTCACCTATGCATTACGCAAAAAGAAATCTCCGTTCATTTTCCTTCATCGATCTCCTCCAATTAAATCGATAGACTGGAACAGAATCTGATGAATAACACGTAACATTCTGAGCAGCAGCAAAAGTGTATAAACGACATAGAGGTGACTTTCCTCACCTAGTAGTAAATCGAGGAGAAAAAAGGGAACAAAATCGCAGGTACCACAACTAAATATTTATATACAATATTCCCGAGGGTTGTTTTTGCATCCATCTTCTTCTACCTGATAAAATACATACGTAATATTGAAACGAACTTGCCCCAATTACACAACTTGTTAATCTTCACATTCGCAACACAGCGAGGATATTTATTATTATGTTTTAATAATTGACTAAATACTGAAAAGGTGAAACAAAAAGATAGAATCACCATCGACAAATAATATAAGTATGTAATAGACAAAACAAACAGCTTATTATCTTGAAGAGCAGTGCTAATTTTTCTAATTACGATTGTTCCTCTAATGCATTTTAAGGAGGAGATCCACCGCCTCCACCGTCGTCGACACTTTCTCGATTGCCCCCACCCACCCATACACAAATACAAACACGCACACTATATATATAAATTACTTTCGTCGTGGAATTCGCGTACCTCGCACCGTTCCCCGCTAGTTTTCTCTTCTCATTTTTTTTCTTTCTTTTCTTCTTTCTCCTCCACTATATACAGATATATATATATATAAGTTCGTGCCCTAGAAAAACGAAATTTGGAATCGGACAGAGAAAAGGAAAAAGACTGACCGACTGACTTTCTATACAATTCAAAGAGGACGAAACTAATTGGCACTTTCTCGACTTTGACTTCTTGCTCACCGATTCAAATTTTCCATGACTTCCCTCTTTCTTCTGAACACGAACAACATCCAACAAACAATCTTCTCCACTGACACAACAACAATTTTAATACACAACGAACTACCCCCCTCGAACGATCGAGAAGATTTCACGAGCAGTGGTAAACATTTGTGCGAGGGGTGGAGGGAGGGGTGCGAGTAGGCAGGCAGAAGAATCAGCAGCAAATCGTTTAACGGCTCGAACGTAGGCAGTACACGAAACACTAACTTTTCATCTACCTACCTAAACTGAAACCAAACCAACTACAACAGTACAATAGTAGTAACTACACTACGCGCAAACTGCAGCCGAGACCGGCCGAGAAAGAAACACGTTTTCCTTCATCCAACCGATGCAGACGCCAAAAAGAGAAGGAGGTGGAGAACAAGCAGGTAACAATGAACCAACCGACCAACCAACAGCAGCAGTCGAAAACGAAGAAATGTTAAAGGAGGAGTCGCTCGGCCGTCCTTTGTTGCATGCTGCTACCCCTAGTTCGATAGAGACCGAGAGAGAGAGAAAGAGAGAGTAAGATATAATAATAGCGAACCAGCTGTTTGTTCTCCCTACGTGAGATTCATTGAACCATTACAAACAATAAGAGCTTCTTCAACAGCATCAACATATAATCTTAATAATCATAACGAACAAGGGGGGGGAAAAGACCGATATTCATTTATATACCCGTCAAGGGCTTCCTCGATACTAATACATCGTAACACGTTGGGGAGACAGAAAGAGAGTGCAACGTTTCTAAATGCAGAAGGAGACTAGAAGAAACAGCAAGTGCATTTTACCACGGGAAAGTGAAACGGGCGTGAAAGATGAGAAGGGAGCCGGCAACTCTTCTGAACGGATTTTATTTGCGTAACGATTTTCGTTTACGCTGAAGAGAACAACAAAAGGGAAAACAAGCGCCCGAGATGGTCGAGATGGAAAAAAATAAATAAAAGACAATTGAATCACTTCTGACTCAGAGCGAGAGTGAGCGAAGAGGAGAAGAGAGGAGAGGAGATCACCACTTTCACCCGACGTTATCTCTCATTTCTCAACAACCAATTGACGACGACGACGACGACTTTTTCATTCATTCATCATTTTAAACTTTACATAAGATCACACATTTAAACTATCCTAGTTTATTCGTTTTCGTTTAGTAGCAAAGGGTGTCTAAACACTCTTCGAGCAAGCAAACAGACAATCGGCATTACTTTCCAATTATTGTCGCAACGGCAACGGTCTGCACACACACACTCACACACATACATGTAACATTGTTCAATTGTGTTTGTTACAAAACGAGTGTGGGTTTAACGGCGCAGAGTGAAAGTGACCCTTATTCGAAGCCCGAGAGTTTCCACCGCACACCTCATTTTTCAACCTACTGCTCTGCACTGCACCACATTATAATAAATAGAAACAGCAATAAAATGCGTTCTGTAAATGTGTTGCAAAACAATGATTGCCGTTGTTACGAGGATCGATGGGGGAGATGCATCAAAGGTAACTTCAAAAAGAAAGAAAGAAAGAAAGAAAAGAGTGAATAAAGAGTTTTCCGAAGTGCTACAAAAGCTCTCCTTTTCTCTCTCCCTTTCACTGTTCTCGCGGTTCTCGGGTGAAACCAGGAAATATATCTCAATCGAGAAAGAGAGTTTAGCAAACAAAA